TCAGACCGAACAAATCCCCACAAAAACAATATATTTAAACACCTATCAATTTTTTAAAACAAATTTCCAGCAAAAAACCTTTAAATATCAACGTGAAGAGCTTCGAGAAAGGATCGACCAAAAAGCATTGTTGTGGTCCCATAGATCTAATAGGCCTGGATATAGTCTCCAATGCCAATCAATCAGATGGGAAATTCCACCATCCATCGTGATTGAATAATAACATCACCACCGAAACGAAAGGATCTGACGCAACATTTAAAACTCATATCTGCCATGCAAGTGCAAAATGCACTTTTGTCCTACCAGGAAAGATGAAATTCTTTAAGATTCGGTTATATGAAAGACCATATTAATTATTGCATCACCTTCAAATGATTTCTTCTTTGACGAATTTAAGAAATTGGACATTTGGTTGCAAAATGCCGGGCTTATCAACATAAAGACAAATTATCGCAAAACGAATTCTCGACCTACCACTAAGACCATTTCCGGCCTTGATACCCTTACCTTTTGAAGACGATTTTGCTTTTCCAACATCTTATAATTTGCCTTGGTTAAACATGTTGAATCGTAGATACTTATGTTTTTTTACGTCACGATCGGGTAGAATCCTCTATTGTATCGGAATATAATAATGTGATTCTTAACATCCATACGAGTGTTATAATTTTTATCGAATGCTTGGATATAAAATATAGAATCAATTTTTTCCTACGTCATAATAATAGGTCTCATCAAATTCATAATCATTTCATATTTTTAGTAAATTCCTATATCTCCGTATCAATCGTCATCCTTATAAATTTACTTCGTTTGCCAATTATCTTCCGAACACATCTAATTTTATCGTTTCCATCGACCAAAACATTACAATATCCTCAAAAAATACAATCATACAATATTGATGCTCTCGTGGTATCACCTCGAATTGGCGCTCTTACAATAATAATAAATGCAAAAAATAGATTTTATTAAACAAAAAATATCAATTTAATGCAATATAAACCTAATTATTCCAATTTATTTAAAATAAATCCGTATCGTCATTATCCAACCCTTAATTTCTTCTAAAAAAATAATCAATTCTATATTTTTTTAAAAAATAAGATATCAATAAATCAATTTTTAATGCTATATTAAAAAAAATACAGGAATATTTCGACCTTTAAATAACAAATCCATTATTTACAAAATAAAAAACATATAAAAATAATTTCTATATTACGATAAAAAAATATCAAAATAAAACAATCTGAATTTTAATATTAAAAAAAAAATCAATCTTCCAATATTAATAAAATATTACCATAATTTAATTTTTGCATCCATAAATTGATAATTTTCAGACAAACAAAAACTTAATCCTTCTCCTCCATTCAATATATAAAATCAAAAGATTTTATTTTCCAAATGCAAAATAAGATTATCCTCATAGTCTTTTACCGATATTATTAATAACATTCAATATCGATAATCCAAACGAAAATCATAAATTCCAATATAAATATTCCAAATATTTCTATTCCATAAAACCAATATATTATCGATAGAAACACCAAATAATATTGTATTCGATAATATATTACCTCTAATATATTGTCCAAAGAAATAAGAAAATTTTCTAAATATATTAAATCATAAAATCAGTTTACTTCTTTTGCAATTCTCCAATCGAATAATATCGAATAAAATTTGCCTTATTCAATTAAATTCATATTATATAAATTAAATAAAATCAGATCGAATAAATCCCCACGAAAACAATATATTTAAACACCTATCAATTTTCTACATCAAATTTCCAACAAAAAACCTTTAAATATCAAATTCGATATAAACCCTTTAAATAAGCTAAAATATTTATTTATCATCCAAAAAATATATTCAATATCGAATAAATTAAATTTCAGAAATTTATATAAATCAATATCAAAAAAATTCAATTTCTTATATTTATATAATTGTATTAAATATTCATTTTAACTATATTTTTTTTAATTAATACATATATATAAAATATTTAAATCAATTCCAAATTTATATATTATTTAAATATAAATATTTAATTAAAAATTCATTTAATCAATATCCTACCAAATCCGGGCGCCGGCCACGAAGCCCGTGCCCTGCCCGGAGGGCCTTCGGTGGTAACCGAAGGTTATAGACGGGCGCGCCCCCTGCCGCCGACCCACCGCCGACCCTCGTCACCAAAACGGGGGGACCACCGAGTCACTGATATCAACGTAATTTACAGGGTTTCGTGTGTGTGAGGTATAAAAACACTGTGTTTTACAGGGTTTGGGGGCCCTCGGCGGCCGAGAATTTCATCTGGGCGATGTCAAAAAACCTAGGTTTTTTCATGGTTTTTGCTTTGCGGGAAGGAAAAAATCGCCAAAAGTTGTATCGGAAGATTTTTTCAACATAAATCGCCTAACATATCCCCAACATAGGCCCAAGATAACCAACAGATCCCCAACATATGCCCCACATAGCCTCCAAGATGGCTCAACATAGGGCCAACATAGGCCAACTTGGGGCCAACAGACGCCAACATAGGCCCAACATAGGCCCAAGATAGCCAACACATCCCCAACATATGCCCAACATAGCCTCCAAGATGGCTCAACATAGGGCCAACATAGGCCAACTAGGGGCCAACAGACGCCAACATAGGCCCAACATAGGCCCAACCGAGGCCAACATAGGGTTAACGTGCTCAACCGTAGGATCAATATGGGCCCCAGATGTGCTCTTTGTGGCCAACATATCCCTTTACAGGGTTTCGGGCCCCTCGGCAGCCGAGAA